TTGGATCACTGCAAGGAGAAACGAGATGCGAGGGTGGAGTGGAACGCTTGTGGGAGAGGCGTTTGCAGACATGCAGCTCTCACTTTCAAGAGTTGAGTTGAGTCGGTATGAGGTGGTGGTTGAACAGCAGGTCTAAGCTACTGCTTGTAGTTGTTGAATTTGTACTACTCTATGTTAAACGATGTAGGGCCTTAGTATCTGTCCTCGGTGTAGATACTCAATGAAGGAAGGTGAGGCTGCTTGCAGAGTACAGACAGGGTGGGACAGACGGTGACGGTGACGTGGTCAATTTGTCCTGCTGCTGCGAGTTGGCACGATGTCCTCGAAGGAACCTATGACAAGCAAACCGTGTGGTTGGTCTAACCTTTGAAAGATATTGACAGAACGTTAAATGTACCATTATACATTGACATATGGATACAGGATGCAGCTAGTATATATTAAGTTATATTATATATACCCTCCAACAAAAGGAACACGCGTCATGTTCCTGTGGTATTTGCAATGTTTTCTTGAATGATGTTTTGGAACATATCGGGGGGGGGGGCAAATCAATAGATGGTGTTATTGTTGTGCACAATTGTTGTGCAACATGTTGCGCAAACAGGGTTTGCAAACGACCCAAGCAGCTGAATTCATATCCAAGCACTGTCGCCAGTACTTGCACTATATCCAAGGTGTTTAGATTTCAAGATTCTGTGGACTTTGTGGTTTCCAGTGTCAAGGACCTGGCACCGGAATCCAAGAAGTCCTGCAGAATCTTGAAATCTGAAGGTCTTGAAATCTTGACTCGGCTATTTGGATATGAGTTCAGCTACTTGGATACTTTTTGGGTCGTTTGCAATCGTTACGCTTCACTGCAGCAAAAGGCTTCAAGTACAACTGACTGCTATAAACTTTCTGGTGAAGAAAACAGTTCGAAGCTTCGGCCTGCAGCCCAAAGCGCAAAGCTCCACGACATGTTCTTTGTGGGCTTTGACGTCACTCTTTTCCCGTTTGCCTTTCATGGAGCTCCCTGCAAGTGACAGGCCGTGGAGCTGACCCATTGGGGGAATGGGGACATCACCATTCGCTTGGCACCAACTGTTCCGGACGATGTTGTCTGTGTCCCTACCGCCAGTCGAACTGTGGACGAGCATTGGAGCATTCATCCGTCCAGAAGGCCCAGTTTACACGCGAAGTCCTGAACTCAGCCATGGTGACAGTTCAAAAGCAGATGGGAGCAGTGGCGTGGTTTGGTCAAGCTCGGACATCGTTTGAAGCCTGCCTTGGCGCAATTAGGAAGGTGGAGTGGAAGTCCGTACCTCTGGTCGAGTTTGCACGACAACGTGGTCTGTAAGAAGTGCGTCAAAATCAGCAAATCGAAGTGGCAGTAATTACAATTAAATTCTTATTGTTACTACTAGTAAGGCACTTGTTTCAAATAGCTTCTTGTTACTACTAGTAAGACACCTGTTTCCAATAGCTTCTTGTTACTACTAGTAAGGCACCTGTTTCTAATAGCTTCTTGTTACTACTAGTAAGGCACTTGTTTCTAAT